AAGTTTTGGAAAGTCCATTATGAAAGTCTTGAAAAGTCACTAATGAAATTCCCTGAAAGTCTAAAAAAGTTCACCAAAGTCATGAAAGTTCTACAAAGTCCACAAAAGTCATCAAATTTAAAAAGTTTTAAAAAGTCCTTAAAAATCTCAATTGAATACACCCTCCTAAGAGGGGAGGGGAGGGGAAATTTTAAGTTAAAATCCCTCCCCTTCCCCAAATTTGCTCCCCTCCAAAAGTGGGGGAATTTGGAGGGGAGGAAAAATTTTAAGTTGTAAAATTACTTTTTTGTCCTTCATATGTAAAATATTTTAATTTTTTATCTCTTACATCATTAAGGGTATAACTGTCATTTCAAAACTATTTTCTTTCCCCTCCATTTTCTTAACCAAACAAGGTTAACCATTTTCCCTTCATTCCCCTCCTACAAAATCCCTCCAAACAAGGTAAAATCATTTTACATCACCTCCCCTCCCCTCCCCTCCCTTCCATTAAAATCCCTCCCCTCCCCTCCCCTCATTTGAACCAAACATTAAATATTTTAACGGAGCCCTGTTTTATTGGCCCTTATTAAATATTTTAACATTCCAACAACAATAACAATAAAGCCTAATAGCGAGAAAATGATGTATCTTTATTTGATTGATTATTTAATCACGATCTTTAAATCTTGGCAAATAAATATATGACATTACATTCTTGACAACTCAATACATAGATTTAACGTCTGTCAATGGAAAGTTGACGTGACAATTTTTGTAACAGTCACGTTACCGAGAAGTATGACTCAGCAAACAGAAGTCAAATCATCAGTTAAACCTTTGCAGTTTAATAGACTACCCTTGTTTTTTTGACAACCCGATACAAGAACTTAACTTTTTTTTGGCAAAAACCTGTCACATCAGGATTTTATTTTATTTATTATTTGGATTCATTTAAGTTACTTTTATTATTTTTATTTATTTTAATTATACTTTTATTATTAAATTATGTTTATAATTTAAATATATAGTGATCACAAACAAAAAATAAATAAAAAATGTATTATTATGTTTAATTTTTAACTTATATGTCTTATTTGATTCTAGTTTATTATTTTTTAATATTTAGTGTACTCAGTATTTAATGAATAAATAACAAAATAAATTAATATTAATATAGTAAATAATGAATAATAAATAATAAAACATATAATATAGAATTCAATAAAAAGTATAATTAAAATCTAATATATTTATTTATGTAGATAAATAATATTACATTATTTATATTATATGTTTTTAATTTATTTATTTATTTAGTTAATTTGTATATTATTTTTTTTTTATTTAAGTATGTTAAATAATAATATGAGCCAATTTGGTGGAGCCAACGGGCCTTAGCCCGTCTCTATGACTCCATTTGGAGTCGTGGTAAGTTGGTAACTCTGTGTTACTTTAACATCTAATTCGTCAATTAAATACAAAAGTTGCAATGAGCCAATGACAAGCACATGCATAAGAATAAACCAAAATATCTCCTTATGCCAAAGTTCTCATGCACACCTGCTAAAAGCAAAACAATTTTAACATCCATTTCATTTTCTGGTGATTGGCCAAGAAAAATTAAAAGGAATATTAATTAAAAAACAGACAAACTAATAAAATTGGCTAATGAATCTTCTATATTATGATTAAGCTCGAGGGAAAAACAAAAAGACAACATTGATTTTTATCAATTTTTTTTTTCTTTTTTGTATGTTAGCGAATAATTATAGTTCAAAGAAAACCCTCGACCCCACGTCCCGCTTGTACTTCTCTATATATGGAAAGTGCCTCCTCCATGACTTTAGCTTGGGCAAGCACTTGAGCCCTCTTTTTCCCAGAAGGATGAGTGGCAAGATAATCTTGCAAAGCCGACTCGCCAGCTACACGTCCCAATTTCTCGTACACTTGTGGGGCCACCCGAGGATCATATCCAGCCGAGGCAATCAACAGCAGCCCTATGTAATCCGCCTCCATCTCCATCCTAGGAGCAAAGAGAAAAAATATATATATTTATTTTATAAAAAAAGTTGGGACAGAAGAGAGCAATAATAAAACGCTTTCGCAGATCTTGGTATTACGAGTATAATTTGCAGACTGCTTTCTAGGCAAAGACTTAAGACAGATAATTAATAATAAAACTTCTAACATAGTTACTAAAGGCGATTGGCAAGCTGTAAGTAGCATTATAAAACATCTTAAAAGTGTTACGATTAACTAGCGTTACTTTCTGTATGTAAAGTTTCTACTGTTTTGTTGGCCAAACTCCGAAGCCTCAGCCTCAGAAACCTGTGGCACACTAAGCTTTGGCAAGGCGATTTTCAAATGGCCTCTACCAGGCCGTTTAAATCTATAGTTTTCAAGCATGAATAACCAAAGGGAAAACGAAAAAAGACATTATGAGAATTGTACTTGATGTTTAGTTAAAATTACCACTCCAACAAAAGTGTTTTTTACATGCATATATGATGTATCTATGGGGTTCAGTCTTATTAGACATTTTCCAAAAAATACAAATTCCCCTTGTATTTGTTTCTGTTCTACATACAAAGCTAGTGTGAGGATATTGTAAAAAAAATGCAAACCTCCAAAGAGAGATTGTGGATGATCTTTTAGAGCTTTTCAGATTTTTAAGTTATAAACTCAATGGTCGTTTTGTAGTTCTTTCAGGGAAATTCTAATACCTACTATAACTCTTAATAAATCAAATCGACACTACATTTGGACTAGTTCCCAAGTTACTCCATATCTAAGCAAATTGAAAACGCATTAAAAATATAACACATAAAAAGCACACAATTTTCACGAAGATTATCAGAAACAAGCTTCATTAAAAAAAACAAAGCTTCATCAATAAATACTAAAGTGTAGGGCAGAAACCCTCAACCCAAGTTACAGTAGTAAAAACCAATAGCTTGAAATGACAACAAGGCAAAATTGAAGTCATACAGATACACAGCAGATTGTAAAGAGTCCCCTAACATATTCTATCTTCCGATTCAATTTATTAAAAATTGAAAACTTCCCGGGGACCAAGTTTTAATTCTTATTAGCTGCCTAACTGATAGCAGAGGACATGAAACAAAAGAAAACCTTGAAACCACCAAACAAAAAATATAGCCTGGCAAAAGTCATACAGCGTTGAGAAACTCGAGAAGTACAACACTTCTCATGCACACAAAGGAATTTGCTACAAACATAACATATAAGCGCTACATGCATCGCTTGGCAACCCTTGGCTTGGGTTATAGCCAAAATTAAACTAAAGAAAGCATTGCAACAGTTAGCAAGAGAGACTAATCACCACAAAATAATGTAGATGTATCTGAAAAAATTGTCAGAATGAAGAAACATGCTTATGGCTAATCAATCACTTCAAATGCAACATTACGCCAAACGTGCAAATGCAATGATCTGAAAATGTAATTGTTTTTCTTTTTTTTTTGGGGGGTGGTGTTGTTGACATCATACATGGGAGAGATCATATACACAAAAGTAGAATTTCACTTGCAACCCACTGAACCAAAGCCCACGAACAAAGTAGCATAAACATTCAAAAGGCCACAACAAATAATGAACATCATAATATACCTTCGAGAAAAAGGAAGCCTCAGGAAAAGATTGGACATAGTATTGACAATATCTGGCATGAAAAACTGGTAAAGTATCAACTGCAAGATGGTTAGCCATAGATTTTTTGAGATCTGTTCTGCCGAGTGCCTCGCCACAGCATGACCAACCTATCAGACAAAGAACACAGAAACTTTTATCATCACTACACAACATCAAAGAAAAAAAAAAAGCATGCATCTACAAATAAATCCAGCAGATCAAAATCCATCCACATGTTACTTAAGAGAGTAATTATTGACCTAAATCTACAGAAACCTATCACACAAAGAACACAATTTCTATCATTATCCACACCCAAAAAATAAAAAAACATACATCTACAAATTAAATCCACAAGGTAAAATATTTACAAGTTTTTCCATAAGAGTAACCAGTTGCCTAACTCTAGAAATAAAATACTCAACATGCCCGCAAACTTCCATTTTGCTCTTATAAATCATCAATGTGTGTGTGTGCTGCACCCATGCAGAATTACTTAAATGAAAAATTCACTCATACCAATACTCAAAAGATACTTATTCTGCAATTTCAAGAAGAATGATACATCACCAAACTAATTCTGACTTTATAGCATTTTCAACAATGTACCTCATGCCCGATAACTGTGGCAACCTCAGCATCCGCCCTAAAATGCTTAAGCAACCCAGTGAAAACAACAATCTTGCCACCAGGCAAACAAAATGCATTAACCATAGGCTCGTCAACCACGATAACCTCCCATTTAAGTCCCTCCAAATGAGCTGTCTGAGATTTCATGCCCTTCTCATGGCCTTTTTTCCTACTCTGCAGAACCCACTGATCATCAAGAACCTCATCCTCCTTGTGCCACTTGTCCTCCCCCTGCCATTTTTCCTGATCCACCATTTTATCACTCAATGCCTTCACGCTTTCGTGCCCATAGCCCTCATGAGACAAAGCCACGCTCTCGGGCGAATATCTGATATCACTCCAAACCTGCTCTTTGCTCAAACCTTTTTGTAGGGCCTGAATTATATCCTGTGATATACTCTGAATCCTAATACTCTCAGGATGGAGAGGGGGCAGTATTTTCCCTTTGAACTGGTTTTTCAACTGCTTGAACTGATTATCACCTAAATCTCTTTCAAGGGTACTTGATAGAAGAACAAAATGGGTTCTTTTGGTGTAGGGTACAGTCTCTAGATTACCAAAGTATACAGTAATAACAACCCCAGAACCAAGCAAAATGACTGCAAATACATTTCTTGGATTTTCAATCCATCGTTTGTACCCTCTGGGCTTAAAGTGGTAAACCTGTTTCCTATCCACATAGTAAAACCTCTTTGCACCACCAAGAAAAGGGTTTTGTTTGAGCCCATTCTGCAAAAATGTGTTTCTGAAGATTGATTGGGAAAACTGAGAGATTCTCGAACTGCTCAAACCTGGTCTAGAAGCAAAACTGTGCAAATTTGCTCTTGAAATCGATTGTTGAATAGGGTTTCTGGGAATAAGAGTGTCAGGTTTGCAGCTATGAAAAGCATCGTATATGAGTCTTGAAGATCTTCTAAACCATCCCATGATGCTATAACATGTACCTAACAAATGGATACATGTAAGGATTAACAAATGGTTTTCTTTTCTGCTTTTTTTTTTGCTTTTTTTTTTCTGCTCACAAGATGAACGACGCACAATAAATGAATGAGAAAAGGAAATCAATGACTTCTCCTACTACCAAAAGTGGGTTACAAAAGAAAGAAATGAGGACACTGAGATAATGATGGAAAATTCAGACCCTATGTACACTAAATGGTGCTTTAAAAAAAATGTACATTGTTTTTTATCTTCTTTCAGTGAGAGGATGATAAACCTATGTACACTAGATGTCGATTGGTTACAGAAAATTTTCAATTTCATTTGTTCAGTTGATTTAGTGATTTATTTCAATGGAAAAAAGAAAAATAAAATAAAATAAAAACTCACAAAAATGATATTTATATTATCTCACTTTATTCACTACAATCCTACCAACACAATTAAAAATAAAAAATAATCAGTATTATATACATTTCAATAAAAATTACTACTCATCCACTCACATATTATCAACTACAAATCATACCAATCAACTTCTTTATATCAAAACAAATTTAATAATTATATTTTCTACTTACATCCATTCATATTCCCAAATTTCTCTCGTTTATTCTAAAAAGAAATTTGTCTCTTTTTCAAATCTATTTATCATACTTACTTACAGCCTCAAATTTATATCACTTTTTCTAAAAACAAATTTTCCACTTTTTTAGATGAGAAAAAAATTTTTAGAAAAAATCTTATGCCCAATTTCAACCTAAACGGCATTCATTTTTCACATATACATTGTCTTTATCTTCTTTAATAGTTTACATAACTTTTGTTTATTTGCCGTTCCTTAGTTTTTTACCTTATTTTAGAAGAATTTACTTCAAGATTATAAAGGGGGTTAATTAGTTTTTACCTTAAATGTTTTAAAAGGATTTACTTCAAATTTATAAAAGTCTTTCCACTGTGCTCGTTTAAGTTTCTTAAATGTTACTTATTGGTTACATTAGACCTGCAAACGAATCAAGCGGCTCGCGAGCTTTGAGTTGAGCTCGAGCACTTTAAATTCGAACTCAAGCTTGTAAACTTGATTGTTTGACGGTTTGCAAATTTGCATGTACAATTATCTAAATACCTTTAACTCAAAGCAAAATTTGCATCAATTGGAGCAACATTCTTAATTGAATAGAAAAATCTTATTGAACTTTCGGGCCACTTAAGCACAATTTGAGCTGATCAAACTCAACCGATTTCAAGGTTCGATACAGGAATCATGAGGCAGACACAATAGTGGCCACATAGAACTGATTCACAGCCATCTAATATCACCACCAGGGGCATTTTTCCAAAGTTTTTTCAGTCAAATATTCTCATACAAACAAAAATTATTTTTCTGACATACACAATATCTAATATTCCAATAAAAGTAGAACACACCAGTTTCCCATCGAAAAGCCCCAAACTTACAAAATTCCGAAATCACACGCGGTTCCAAACAACAATTAAAACAACTCGTAAATCAACCACCGATATAAACAATGAACATAATCCTAATTTTAAGATCTCCGAAAAAAGCTCAAATCGAAACGTAACCATTCGGGACCAAATCGACAAAAACGATCTCAGTAGATAACTTGGAATAGTTAATTGCAAGCAAGGGCAGAATGCGTACCTCTTACTTCAACCCACCGCTCTCTCTCTCTCTCTCTCTCTCTCTCTCTCTCTCCTACGAGAGACGATAAAATTTGGCCAAGTCGGAGGATCTTGTGTATACTCGAAAGATCGACAGTTCAGAATATATCGGACGGCCTATATCGATCACTGTGTTTCGTTTGCTTAATCTGACGGTACCAAATGGGGGTACGTCTACGTCGTGTTTCTTTCTGCCAAACGTATTTTTTTTTTTTTTTCTATGAAATAGACCTAATTTATAAAAAAGTATTTTTCACAATACAATTGTGTTTCTATTCACATAAAAAAGTGCTAATGCTAGGGAGCCAATTGTTGGCTCTCTAACGGACCCAACAGCCAATGGGACAGCTCCATGAGGGGTTGTCTCACATTCAAGTCATGTGGGACAGTCCCACATGCAGCTGTATAATTGGTTGTTGTCTCAATAACAAAGCCAACAGTTGACTTCTTAGCATTACTGAAAAAAGTGGGACCAGTCCGATAAAATAGACCTAGTCTATTTTGGACCTGATAAATTAGGAATAAATCCCTTATGTATCTATTGTGTTTCTGTTCAGATACATACATGGATTTGTGACCTACA